AGCAATTCTAAGCTTAGCTTACTTCTATCCTAAGTACCCTCTAAAACTAGAGATAGACGCCTCTAATAGAGTTATTGCAGCTATCCTCTTACAGGAGCATCCTAATAGGAAATAGTACCCTATATCCTTCTTTAGTTAGACCCTTACTAGTTCTAAACTTAATTAGGAAATCTATAATAAAGAATTATTTATAATAATCTACGCCTTTAAGAAATAGCGTGCTAACCTAATAAGTACTTAGCACCTTATTAGAGTATACACAGACTATAGAGCACTAGAGTACTTTATATCTACTAAAGTCCTTAGTACTAGGCAAGCTAGATAGCTAGAGGTTATAAGTCCCTTTAACTTCTAAATTAAGTATACTCCTAGATCTTACAACGCCTAAGCTAATATCCTAAGCAGAAGGGAACAGGATATAATTAACCTAAAGACTACTTAAAGGGATAATCGCTTATAAGTAATAATTGCCCTAGATAGGTTATACCCCTAAATTAACTCTAATTTAGCGCAAGACTACCTAGCTAAGCATTCCTTACTAATCCTTGCTTTAATTACAGCAGTTTAGAACCCTATAACTCTTAGATCCCTAGAACTTATTAAAGCTCTTCTCTAAGAAAATAGGTCCTTATTCCTAATAGAAAGATTAGAGTTACCTAAGCACTATTAGATAGAAAATAGACTCCTTCTCTACTAGGATTAACTTTGCGTGCCTGCTAGATTAGTCCTATATACTAGACTAATTCGTAAGGCTTATAATTAAGTGTCTACGGCCTACCTATTAGCTACTAAAACCTATTAGATTCTAGCCTAATATTACTACTAGAAAGGTATAGAGACTACCTATAAACGCTATGTTTAAAACTATATCCTATATAGGAGAGGGCACCTAAGATAGCACTAACTCCATAGGCATACTCTACCCCCTTCCTATCCCTAGTCTACTAATGCAGCACCTGTGCATTAATTTTAAGGATTTTCCCTAGGATTAATAGGGTTATAATTAGATTATAGTTATTATTAATTACCTATTAAAGCAAGCTATTACTATCCCTTACTATAAAACTATAGACGCCTAAGGTATAGCTACCTTATTTATTTAGTAGGTGTACTAATTTAGATATACTCTAGATACTATTATTTCTAATTAAGGCCCTTAGTTTGTATCTAGTTTCTAGTCTAAGTTCTGTTAGATTATAGGCACTAAAGTTAAGCTCTCTACTACCTACTATAAATAGACTAATAGACAAACTAAGATTATAAACAAGTATATTAACTAGAGACTAAGGCCTTTTGTATCCTATTACTAGGATAACTAGAGCAAGCTACTACCTATAATAGACTGTGCCTAAAGTACTCTTCTATATTTATCTATTAGCATAGCTCTATATTAGCTCCTCTTTAGTTCCTTACTAAAGCAAAGTTAGTATTAGAAACTAGAAAAGACCCTATCTACTATACTAGAGAAACTAAACTACAAAGACACCTTATCCCTTGCTACTTAGATACACAACGCCTAGAAGATTGCTAAAGAAAATATAGAAAGAGCTTAAGACTAAATACGCTCTACTACTAATTACTATTACTATCTAGTTAACTAGAAGATTAGTAACTATATTTATCTATCTACTACTAATCTTGCTATTTTATAACCTAGCTAAAAACTATCTAAATAATAGGAAGGTCCCTTTAAGGTATTAGAATAAGTAGGAAACGCGTATCGCCTCTAATTGCTACCTAGTTCTAAGATCTATAACATTTTCTCTCCTAATATACTATATAAAGATCCCTAAGACCTATTACCTAGATAAGAGGCTCTAAAACCCCCTAGTACCCCTATACAAGGTGTAGAGGAATAGAAGGTAAAAGAAATCCTAGCTAGTAAATTATACTAATCTAAGCTAAAATATAAGGTTAAGTAGGTTAGATATAATCCTAATCCTATTTAGTATCCTGCCTCTAACTTTATAGGTGCTCCCTATAAATTATAGGTATTCTACTAATAGTATCTAAATTAGCTAGGTCCCCTACGCAGCTTACTAAAATAAATTTAAGCCTAGGAAAAAGGTAAAGAGGATCTAATATTACTTTACAATAATCACGCCTAATACTAGAACTAATTTATATCCTATTTAGCTACGTATTATCTATTAACTACTATCTATTACTATTATTCTTATTACTATTTATTATTATATCCTATTTAGAACCTTTAAGGTTCCTAGGACACTACCCTTAGGAAACCTCTTTATTCTATATCTATCTCTCTATTAGAACCTAGTTTAGACTCTATATTAGCTAAGATAGCGCCTAGACTATCCTTCTTTGCTAGCTTCTAAATAACTAGTGCAGCAGGGATTAGGGTAGGTGCAGGAGCAGTAGTAGGAGCTAGAGCTAATTTAGATACTTTCTTATAGAACGTTTTTATCTTAGCCTAGACTAGGAAAGTTACCTCCTAATTTAGTACTAATTCCTCCTTAAGTTCTTTAATAGCCCTTATTAAGCCCTTAACTACTAAGACTATCTTATAGATACTATTCTAAAGCTAACGTAAATTAGATATAGTAGTATAATAGGTAGCTATAAGGATTTTAGTAGCCTCTATACCCTTAGTCTAAGTATTAGTAATAGTAATGCACTTAGCTAGGTTTTAGGTAGTTTCTTAAATAGTAGCCTTAAACTACTTAATATCTTTCTAATAGGTAACCACAGCTTCCTTATCCTTATCCCCTTTAGCAGGGTTTCTAATTAGGCTATAGTATTCTTCTAGAGCACCCCTAAGGGCAGAGTACTCTTAGCTAATAAAAGAAGGAATCTACTAGGATTAGTAAAGAAACCCTATTAGACTTAGACACTTACTAGATTGCAATACTTATTCTAGGAGATATAGTACTAGCACTTCTTAGAATTCTTTAACTTAAAATTAAAATTATTAAACCTACCCCTAGCTAGAGCCCTAACTACTCTTATATAGAGAGCGCGATAAGTAACTAGAAGGACTCCTAGTAGTACTAGTACTAGTATAGCTAAAGGTTCTAATTTAGATTAGCAACTGTTTAATTATATAGATTAAATACTTACTAGATTTTAGATAGATTAGGTTAAATAATTAAAAAATTAGGGATATAGGAGTAAGAAAGTTAGTAGGTAGAGGGCTAGTTATAGGCAGGCTAGGGATAGGGGTCCGTGCCCTAGGAAGAAGAAGTAAAGGTAAAGGCAGAGGTAAAGGTAGATTTATTTTGCAAAAGCTCTTCTTTAAAGAGGGATCTAAACCTAATCCTAAGGATAGGGACTATCCTTTCTCTATAGGAGGGGGTAGTGTAATAATAAGGTAGAATTGCCTGCCTATTATTCTATACTAAGTCTAGTCTAATAAAGGCCTAACTTACTAATATATATAGAGAATAGCTCGCCTATAGTTAGAATAGGTATATTCTTCTTGTCCTTTTGTATAAGACCTATAGGTATAGGAATCTTATCCTTTTCTATATAGACGCGCACTCCTATATGCCTTTAAGTCGTATAGGATACCTTTTGGATGCCCTACCTACCTAAGTTGTTACACTAAGTGCTCTAGTATATCCGCGCGATATTAGATTACTAACTAATAATTAGGACATAGCCTACTAGATAACCTACTTAGATTGTGATGTACTTAGACGTATTATACGCATTAGACCTAGACAACTTAAAATTATTCTCTAGTTACATCCTTAAGGTTAATAGGTTAGTTATCTTATAGTTATCTAAGCGACAAAGCTACGTTGCTTAAAGCATATATAAAGCAGAGTATATAGCTACCTTATACGTGGTATTATATCTTGTTTAGGCTTAACGCGCTATTATAGAATTCCTGCTAGTTATACTACTATACTACCTGCTTGTTAATAATAAACTAGCTATTACACTTATTTAAGACTAGAAGTTAAACCTATAGTTAAAGCACATCCATGTTTATTACTACTTTGTAAGAGAATAATTCCTAGTAGGCAACTTTAACATTAAATATATTTAATCTAGTAATAATCTTATAGACTTATATATAAAAGCGCTCCCACAGCCTATATTAGAGAAGCTTAACACTAGGATATTAAATATTATAGATAAGATATAATGTTTTTATTACTTAGGAGACTAGGGGATATAGTTTTTCTCTTATTTTCTTTGTATATTTATAGTTACTATAGATTTAGGGGACTGTTATTTCTGTATCACCTATAGTGCTTACCTTATACCAAGGTGGTGACTGCCCACCACCATTGGCGACTCCCCTATCCCGGGTTGACTAGGAGACACCCATTTGGGACTAGTGGGGATGTCTATATCTAGCCACCTTGGCTTCTTCCTCCATAAATTCTTCAATCAATACTTTCATCACATCAGCAAGTAGAGGAGGAGGAGGAGGTGACAGTGATACCAAGAATCTACCGTGTACATTCTGACATGTCTTGCACCATGCGCCAGACCATGCATCTTTTGCACTCACAGGGCCCCCCGTATGTTGTCAGCCCTCCATCATCAGATCCAAGCATCGTCGTCGCAGGGCGCTTCCACTCGACTACACTACACAGTAGGCCGAGTTGGGTCAGGTGTGGCGCTGACAGCCCATTGGCCCTACCCACGACGCACAAGTCCCCCGAACTGAACACAAGCCAATTCTCTTTTGTCAACTGGTCTGCTCATGTGCAATCGTGTTCCTCGAGGCAAACAGGAGGGAAACCCAAAGTTCAAATCATGACTTCTTCCACACAAAACAAGGCAGCAACACCTCCTACCTTGCCTGGACATTCCTCTAGTCTACCCCAGCCATCTGCATGCGATCATCGCAACCCGACAACAACCAACCCGCTGTCCCAATAGGAGAAGCTTAGCTTGTCCATGCAATGCATTGGAACAAACAAGCAAACGAATAAACAATACACCCTAGAGACCCACGCTTGTATCATTGTCATCATCATCTTCCCTTTCGTCTTCGTCTGCTTCTTTTCCTCCCTAGTGGTCTATTCCTCCGCTTCCGTGTTCCATATCTCCACCTCTCGATTCTCCAGTTCCTTCATCTTCTCTTCATCAAAAATGGTCGACGTGGGCAGCCCCGTCTTGCCATAGTTGACCACCGGGCCAATCGTGCTGATCCACTGTTGTCTCCTCTCCATCAGAGTCCGGATCGGCTCTCCCACACCAGGCCTAGTAATCCCAGCGTTGGCGACGGCATGTGACCCGCCTCCTGCCCCACCGGGTCGCTTGTTCTGTTTCTTGCCTTTGCCAATGTTACGATTGCGCTTCAGGTACGCGGCATTGAGCTGGTTGTCGAGATCGTCGGCAATGGTGTTGTATTCCTGTTGTGCTATCCTCTCCTCCGTCAGTTCGAGAAGACGTTGTTTCCGCGCCCCATTCTTGATGGACTGTTTGCGTAGCTCTTCTTGTAAAAATCGCAAGCGCTGCGCCACTTCGTCGTCAAAATGCGAGTCGTACGACTGCGACTCGGCATCGCGCTCGTTAAGTTTATCCCAGGCCACCTAGCCAGAGGGAAATG